GACGGGGTTTCACCATGTTGACCAGGATGGTCTCGATCTCTTGACCTCATGATCCACCCGCCTTGGCCTCCCAAAGTGCTGGGATTACAGGCTTGAGCCACCGCGCCCGGCTTCATTATGAACAATGTTAACATACTCTTACACATACCTTTGATCATATTTACAATTATTTTCTTTAATCCCCAAAGTAGAATTTCTGAATCGAAGAGTATGCATGATTTAAATGATGCTTGTACATACTTTAAAATCTACACAGTCTGCAGTATACTGGTAGAATGTTCATTTCCTCTCATGCTTGATAATATGGGCATCAGTACTCAGATGCCTGCTGGTGAGTTGTGTTTATTTTAGTGAATCATGCGTGCCAGTTTACACTCACTGGAATAAGAAATTCTGGGTTTCAGAGACAAAAGCTGGAGTTGAAGGAAAGCTGACTCTGTAGTTAGAAAAATGATAACAAATGCAGCTTTGCTACTCATAAACTGCATTTCTACAAGTGATTTTTATTTCTCTTTATGTGAATTTCTGATCCATTGTGTGGATAGAATAATTATTGTGCTAAAGAGCAATCCTGAGGATATAGTTAATATATATAAAACACCCAAGGGCACAGTGGCTCATGCCTGTAATCCCAGCACTTTGGGAGGCTGAGACGGGCAGATCACAAGGTCAGGAGATTGAGACCATCCTGGCTAACAGGGAGAAACCCCGTCTCTACTAAAAATACAAAAAATTAGCCAGATGTGGTGGCACATGCCTTTAGTCCCAGCTACTCAGGAGGCTGAGGCAGGAAAATCACTTGAACCCGGGAGGCAGAGGTTACAGTGAGTCGAGATGGCGCCGCTGCACTCCAGCCTGGCCTACAGAGCAAGTCTCCATCTCAAAAAAAAAAAAAAAAAAAAAAAAAAAAAAACACTCAACATATGGGAACTCTTGATATACGTTTGTTATTGTCAAATGACCAAGAACATGAATCCATGCCTCTTCAGCCTAGGTTATAAGAAAGAGATTGGCAAATGAATTCCTTTCAGAAAACAATGTGGATGATTCTGACTGGAAATAGATAGTGATGAGCCCAGAGGTTTTAGAAGTTGTTCTGGCTGCAAGCAGGGCCGCCAGTGCAGCAATTTTATGGTGGTAATGGCTGCCAGGCTTGGTCCTTATGGATTTCTCTCTTTGTGTCTGGTGAATCTAAACAGGCCTATGACACTTTGAAGAAGGAAGATTGTAGTTTAGATGATAACAGCCCCGGCCGGGAGCGGTGGCTCACGCCTGTAATCCCAACACTTTGGGAGGCCGAGGCGGGTGGATCACGAGGTCAAGAGATCGAGACCATCCTGGTCAACATG